GGTGTCGTCGCCGATGAGGCACTCGGCGATGAGAGTGGGTCGGAGGTTGGGGGCGGAAGAGGGTCGTGGTTTTTGTAGGACGGTGTCGGAGGACAAAACCTTAGCGACCAAGGTGTGACCGTTGGTACCAGGTTTCAGCTGATCCACTTTGGTGAAGACGGGTTTTCGCTTGGCGGGTTTGTTCCCTTCTTGCGGTTGCTGGTTGGAATTGGAAGCCATTGAAATCGATTGATTACTTTGATTTGATCCAAATCACACACTCCTCACTCTTCACTTTTCACTCTAAGTCTCTAACACAACACAAGCCCTACCGCACTGACGCTTTTCTTTCGCACGTTCCATTCAAATCAACCCACACGTCGTTTCCAATCCTCATCACGTGACCCTTTCTACCCCTAAACATTGTGCAATTCTCACCTCTCAAAATATTAATTCAACTAATCTTATTACCATTTTATTAAATTCTCTACATCTCATTTTTTATATTTCATGAAATTTATCTTAATTATATATTAATTTCGGCTCACTATGAATCTATGATTAATAATAAGATTTATCTTTTGATAAACTATTGCTATCAATTCTATGAATTTGCTTTTTTTTTTCCTTTACACATATAAACTGCCGCACTTGTTTAAGGAATTCAAGTTTTATTGGGTGAAGCGGATTCTAGGAACTCAATTTGGGCTAGACAAGTTTCCAAGACTAAGTGCGTGTTTGGTTTCACGTTTGAAACATGAAAAATCACGTTTAACGTGGAAGCTATAATGTGTAGCTTCACGTTAAACATAATTTTTCACGTTTCAAACGTGAAACCAAACACAGGCTAAAAGATTAATGAAATTCACGTCTTTATGAGAGTCCTGCTCCCTACTAATTAAACCAAGTGGTTTTGACCCATAAGAATTAAAATCACAAGCGTCGAATCAATTACATTGTGTTAAACCAAATTTATCATTATGCGGATCACTTATTTATTTCAAGGAAGTAAAAGATAGAGTAATTTTAATTAGGGTAAAATACATTTTTATTTCTTATAAAATATTTGAAATTTATTTTTTCTAAAATCTTTTATATTAAATCAGTTACGGTAAAATTTTAATGTGTTAATATCCATCTCAATATTAGTTCCGTTATTATAATAATTGATGTGACATAATAAAATATTCGCGTAAAATATTTCATTTTTATTAATTTTCTGATAAACAAATTAAGTTGGTTAAATATTCTTAAATGAGTAGAGTGTCAATTTATCAAGGACTTATGTAATATTTAATCATTTATCACAAATTTATTATTCTTTAATTATTTCAAAGAATAATATTTGGAATTAACAAGATATATTAAGCTTTTCTTAAATAGTTATTTGACTAAAGAAGTTGTTTTTGATGTTTTCACAATAAATGTAATATTAATGAGGTTGATTCAATTAATATGTTAGGATTAGATTTCACTATATTTGATTATAAATGTTTTCTTAATCCTAATCTCGTAGAAGAAAAAATTAAGTTCCTTTAATAAATGTCAATTCCTTTATCATTTGATAAAGCAACTTGTATCATGTATAATAGATCCAAAGATAATAATGAGTCATATTTATTTTTGAAATAAAATTCATTAAATGTGTTACTTCAATTTAAGATTAAAAGAACATTTTTCAATGATAATCAAAATCATAAAACAATATATGAGTAATCAAACCAAAACAAGCATTTTTTTTTGTCCAATAGGGGGCTAAAGCCCAAATCATAACAAGCATTAAACACATAAGTAAAAACATTGATATTAAAGTATAAAGATAGATATATTAATCACAATAAATACATAAGAGTGAATTTAGTTACATCCAACTCCAACAATAATGATAATATCAATTACTCATTTCCATAAGCAACCACTTAAAGAGATGAATACAATGAAGAAAGGAGAATTGTTTCTTATCCAAAGTCTAGAGCAATGGAATAATATCCTCTTTTGTTTGGATTTCATACTTGATATCTCAATCTTTTTTCCTCTTTCCTTTAACACAAAACTAAAAAGTGAAACTAATTGCTAGTTGGTTGACTTCATTCATTGCACGATTTAAGATGATACCAAAAATGAACACATAATCATCCACAACCTCCCAACAATAAGGAACATAGTTGTGCATAAACACAACTTCGAGAAAAATTGTTGTGCAACTCTAGGGGTTGTCGTGCAAAAATCAAGCTGGGAGGAAAGATTCCAAATAGACTATCCCATGAATCTATAGACATTACACAAAATGTAGTTCAAGAGAAATAACTTCAATATCTTCACAAAATTGTTGAATGGTCCAAGCGTCACTACACGAGCACATCCAAATGAACAAGTTCATCCAACGGTGTTTAATACATCTTGCGATTGTCAGTGCATGAATCCTTTGAAACCTAATTTTGATCTATTGAACAACGAAATAACGTGAAATGAAAAAATTAAATTTGGTATAAGAATAATTCACAAAACATTAAAATTAAATGAAAAATATAAAATAAAATATCTAAATTAAGAAAATAAAATAAAATAATTATTTTCTATACAAAAGACACATGATGGAAAGAAATTATGACAATTATGTTCCTCTT